AAACATAAGAATATGCTGAGAAAAAGAGTACAAATGTCAATGATTTTGATATTTTCATAGTAACTTGGTATTTATTGATCACTCCCTGTTCTTTAAATGCTCTATTCTTTTCTGTTTAAACTATGAAAACTTTTTATTCTTATATAAATTGGTTTGTAAATCTAGTTACAGTCAAAGGACCAGGTAAAAACAATTTGGACTTTTTTTTAACTTTCAAAAACTGCTTTTGCAACTGATTTTACATTTGTACTTAATACATTTGTCTAAATGAGGAGCAGTTATGAAGCGATATGAGCCAAGTGGGAATTTTGAGACGTTTTCTATTTGACATTTATTGGTTTAACAAATTCAAGACCGTTTCCGAAGGTTAAGAAAATCTGAGACAAAAGTCACTTCCTGACATTTCCTGCAATAAAATTACAAATTAGAGAAAGAGAGAAAGCGACAGAGTGGAGGAGAGAGAGAGCAAGAGAGACACACAGAGAGGCACCAGAGAGAGAGACCAGAGGGAGAGCCCAGAGAGAGACCCGAGAGAGAGACCAGAGGGAGAGCCCAGAGAGAGACCCGAGAGCGAGACCAGAGGGAGACCCCAGAGAGAGACCCGAGAGAGAGACCCGAGAGAGAGACCCGAGAGAGACCAGCGAGAGAGCGAGCGAGCGAGCGAGAGACCAGGAATAGAGACCAGACGGAGAGACCCGAGAGAGACAGAGCGACTGCATGATCCAAATGGATGAGAGCAAGAGAGACACACAGAGGGGGGAGAGCAAGAGAGAAAGAGACACACCGAGATAGAGAGACCAGAGGGAGAGACCAGGAAGAGAGACCCAAGAGAGAGACCAGAGAGAGACCCAAGAGAGAGACCAGAGAGAGACCAGAGAGAGACCAGAGAGAGACCAGAGAGAGACCAGAGAGAGACCAGAGAGAGACAGAGCGACTGCATGATTTTATGTGTCAGATCAGCAGAAACATGAGCTTGAATCATTACAATGGCGTTTCTCAGTTTTACCTCAAACTCTCTCTACAGTTTGATATTGTTATTCAGATTCAGAATCATTTACAAACTGGACACAGACTGTTTCTGGTTTCCCTTGAACTCCAAGTTTAAGGGTTTGACTTCAAACACATTTCTCTACGACTGCCCTCTACGACTGCCCTCTACGACTGCCCTCTACGACTGCCCTCTACGACTGCCCTCTACGACTGCCCTCTACGACTGCCCTCTACGTTTATTCTTTAAGTTTGAGCGACTGGTGAGAGACAAAAGCTGTGACTTCTCAAAAAGGAGCAGATGGAAAAGCTCTTGGTCCTGGAGGAAACAGGATCCACGAGCAGCTCCATTATTCATGTCTGAGCGACTGATGGAGAAAACAAAACAAAGGCCTCACACTTCACTCTTAGCTCCTCACAAAATATAAATATCTACTTTTTATCACATTCCAAAACTAAAATGCCAAAGGAGGAAATGTATAGCTAAACACAGCTGACAGTCTCAGTCTTCGCTTCATAGAGACAGTGCAGTATTTGTGTGGTACACAGTTGTAGTGACCGCAGCAACAGAGAGAAAGAAATGTTAAATACATTTTTAAATGCTAAACAAACATATACACGTGTAACAAAGCTAAAGGCAAGCTGTACAATCTAAGATGTTAGCATAAGGCTAATAAGCTTCCCCTGGAGCTGAAGTCTGTCATTTTGGTGATTTGTTGAGGTGTAAATAACAAGAAGTCCAAAGGGTCACAAGTCTACCTCAAATTTTGTTAAAGTAACATTTGTGCCGCGTTTATTGTATTGTTGATCAGAACCTCCCACTGTCGTCACTGTAACAGCCGCCTAATCCTCATTATTATTGGAAAAAAATGGGACTACGTGTTTCCCCTGAAGTAAGGAGAGAGACCACAAGAATGATGTACAAGAGTTTATTACAAAACAGGTTCATCTACAGGTGCAGGCCAAAGCAACCTTATTTATCTCATTCTAAATGTCCTGTAAATTATTATTGCCAAATATTTGTATTTATTATTTGGCGGCTTTGAGTTTTGAGAATTCTATTCTTTATTTGCAAAAAAAAAAAAAATTCATAGTCATACACATTGTATTTGTGTTTTGTAAAAAGGAACAGAAGCTGCATTAGCATATAGCATTGAAGCTAGCTTAAGTTTATGTTTGGATCACTCATCGCTGATGTTCAGAATTCTTTGTTCAGTTTTCATGCAGTTCAAGAGAGTGCTAGCCTAACTGCTGCTAGCCTAACTGTTGCTAGCCAAGCCACGGGAAAACCTTTGGGAACCATTTTATTTGCAGTCATTAAATGAACCTTTTGGCATTCATTAAAGTGGACTGAAGTTTGTGTTGTGTGTTCTGTTGGTACAAAGCCATATAATAAGCAGATAATGTATAGTACACAGGTCATTATCGGAAAATAAGTACCGACAGGGCGGAAGCAGAGCCCGACACGCTATAAGATAAAATAGGGTTCCATTTTAGATTATAGCATGGAAGTTATCTTAAGAACAGACTCTTCCTGCAGTAGTTTATAGACATTCTTTAGTTCAACTCCTAAAATATGTAAGGGATAATGTATAGCCTACAGGTCATTATCGGAAAATAAGTACCGACAGGGCGAAGCTGCTTCCGCCCTGAAGGTACTTATTTTCCGATAATGACCTGTATGCTATACATTATCCCGCTTATTATACTGCTTCGTACCAACTTAACACACAAAATAAACTTCAGATCACTTTTATGAATGCCAAAAGTTTATTTAATGACAACAAATAAAGTAGTCCCAAAAAGTTTTCCCGTTGCTCGGCAACCGCGGGCAGTGGCTATGCTAGCAACAGTCAGGCTGGCAACTTCCAAACTAGAACTCTCTGGAACTGCATGAAAACTGAACAAAGAATTCTGAACATCAGCGGTGAGTGACCCATACATAAACCTAACCTAAATCCATAATTCGATCCTCTGCAAATGTGTCCGAAAATGTGCCGGTATCTTAAAATGTGCCGGTATCTACTTCCGGGTTTTTCGGGATCGCCTTTTCTCGCATTACATCAGTGTTTTTGTCATGAAAACGTAAACGGAAAATTCTGAAAACTTCCGTGCACTTGTATTAAGACTGGATATGTATAATTCACTCTCCGATAAACATTTCATTGCGTTGATTGATTGGCATTTGCGTTTATTGAGCGGCCAGAACTACTTCCGGGGTTTTCACGATCGCTTTTTGACGCAGAGAGAAATAGTATTTTTGTCATGAAGACAAGACCAGAAAATTCTGAAAATTTCCGTGCACGTGTGTGAAGAATGTATATGTATAAGTATTCTCCGATTAACATTTAAGTGTGTTGATTGAGCGTGGCTAGCTCCGGAGTGGCCGGAACTACTTGCGGAGTTATCCACGCATTTGAAAGACAAGCAGAGAGTGCGTTGCCATGGGCAGCGGTCATTATTGTTTTGAGAGGTCCGTTATAGAAAATAATGACCGGTAGAACGTTTTGAAATGACATTCAAATCAATGGAGCATTCTACTGCTGCTGTGAGGAGCCGTATAATAACTTTATATTTAACCGTTGTGTAAATTCTGTCCAACTCTACGCCACGTTCCACAGAACTGCAAGGCGAGGTTGAGCTTGTGACTCATTTTAATTATTCTCCCGGAGACCGCTCTCACAGAAGTCAGATTAATGACCTCATTCATTTTTAAAGCCACAGCTGTACAGTGGAAACACAAAACAAACTCACAGCTAAAAGGGCTCTCAGCAGCTGGACCATGTGGCTCTGAGGCTATTGTTCAAAGAAAACTCACCAACATTAGACTTATGTTTTTACTTTGATGCTTTTTCCCACATTGGTCAATATCAATATGTCTACTACTTTGTGTTGTATGTACATTTTAAAAGAAAGCAAATTTTTGACAATATGACCCTGTTTTATGTAAAGTGTGTCAAAAATATACAGTCTTGACTAAGGATTTAGTCTGAGTACTAAGGATTTGAATTTATTCTGTCCAATCAGGAAGCAGCGTGGGTGAGTCTCGTCCAATCAGTGAGAGTTCGAAAAAAAATAATTTCAAGAAGTAACGGACATTCAAATTAATGTTTGTTTCCCACAAAATATATAGAACTTTGCAAGCGACAAGTTCTCAGAATGGTCAAGAGTATTAAACTATACGAGTACTAAAGAAAATTATGGAAACTAGATACTAATTTCAGTAGTTGATACTCAACTAACAGCAAGAAAAGGTGTGTGTGCGTGTCCGTCCGTGTGTCTGTCCATGCGTGTTTGTGTGTATCCGTGTGTGTCAGTGTCTGTCTGTGTGTATGTATCCGTGTCCGTGTGTGTGTGTGTGTGTCCATGTCCGTGTTTGGATCCGTGTTCATGTATGTGTGTGTCCATGTCTGTCTGTGCGTGTGTGTATCCGTATCCATGTGCGTGTCTGTGTAAGTGTGGGTCATTTGTGTGTCCGTGTGTCTAATTACTAAGATAACAAGACTTTCTGTTGAGACAAATGTGTGTTATTCATGAAACTACCACAAAAAAAAAAATCACTTCAGTTTTAATATTACAATTATTTGCTCGTCCTCTTATTTTAGGAATGACAAAAGGCAATTAGACTTTTTTCCTCAAATTGTGTAGTCCAAGATGGTCCGACACAAACAAATCAAATGTTTCTGACACACACACACACTTTAAAGCTCTGGCCTTGTCTACATCTAAATGTAGTTATTTCTCTGTTAAATTATGTTATTTACAACTGCAGTCCTTCAAAGTCAAATCACAGACTTTTCACAGATTGAGGCCCTTTAATAATGACTAGAAACATGAAAATCTTACAGTCCATCTTTAAAACCAAAATATGTTCTTTACAAGGGGATAAAAAGCCTAACCAAAACTATAACTACAACATCGTCAAAACTCGTGAGAGAAACACATTTGAAGAGGATATAAAAGCTTTGCCTCTTCCCAGATCCACAGCCCTGAAGTGTTGGGGCAAGGAGGTAATGTTTGTGGAGGAGACAACAACAGTGTCCTGGGATAGGAGCAGGAGTAAGTAAGTAAGTAAGTTTTTATTTATATATACACACCGCCTTTTCACTGCAGATCTGAGTCTCAAAGCGGTTTACAATTGTTAATTTTTGGGCATTTGCCTCTCACTCCACACAGAGATGGGAGCAGGGTCGCCAGTACAGGAAGCGCATGCCAGAACTATTGGACATATTTTTAGTGGTAGGGGAAACCGGAGTACCCGGAGGAAACCTACGCAGACACGGGGAGAACATGCAAACTCCACTCAGAAAGGTCCTGGTCCGACCGGTATTCGAACCCAGGACCTTCTTGCTGAGAGGCGAGAGTGCTATCCACTCAGCCACCGTGCCGCCCGAGGAGGAGGAGGAGGAGGAGGAAGAGGCGGGGGAGGAGGAAGAGCAGGAGGAGGAGGAGCAGGAGGTGAGAGGGCCTTAGAAAGTACTGCATGATTTAGTCCCAGATTAAACCGTGTGAGCAGGAGGAGGAAGAGGAGGAGGAAGAGCAGGAGGAGTAGGAGCCTTGGAAAGTACTGCAGGATTTAGTCCCAGATTAGACTGGTTGCTCTGGCACTAGCAGAGGGGCTGTTAAAATGACCCAGTGTCCCGTAAAGCACAGGCGTGGCTCGGCTCGGCTCCTAATGGGATTTCGACACATTAGCGATTCACAGAGTCAGCTCCGGAGCTCTCTGGAGCGAGTCAGAGATAGTGAAAGCTAATGTGGACATCACACAGACTGGAGTGAATTAAAGGAGACATGCCAAAGAAATGGTTTGTCGAGCAAAATATCCAGACGACACTACAAAAAAAGATGGAAAATAAGTCAAATCTGGCGAAAACACGCTTAATTAGAGCCCATTTTGATTGCCTCATAACGAGATGTCAATGGGACAGAGAAAATGGATCTTGTTTTTTTTTTGTTACAATCTTGGGCTATGACTAAATAGCTCGGTCCCACTGACAAATCTTGTTTTAAGTCAAAATGTGCTCAAAATAAAAAACATGGATTTAAGGATTTGTTACCTTTTAAGTGTTTAAACTTTGTGCCATCTATTCCAAATTACCTGCTGCGGTTGATTAAAAGAAGAAAAATACCTAAAATAGGGTCTTTAAAAAAATGGTCTAAATGAATCAGGAGATAGAGAACGTCAAAATTCAGCGAGAAAAAAATTGATTTGGGGGAAAGAGGAAATGTATCGTTACATTTTGGGGCCAAAACATTCATAAAAGGAAGCTAACGCAGCCTCCTGGGACTTGTATGAATATTTTGTAGTGAAAGAATTGAGGTCCTTTTGAAAGAATTGAGAATCCAAACAACTTGACATTACAAAAGAAACTGGAGCGCGAGAAAACAAAGCAACATTTTAACATTTACTTTCTGTGGGAATAAAGACCAAAGTTACGTACCCGAGCTTTAACCTCCGCGTTTGTCGAACCCTCCACAGACTAAACATGATGCAGAGGTGTTACAACCCAAAAAACTGCAGAATCTACCAGAAAAAGTTTGTGAAGAGTAGAATCAGAACGTTTAGGCTTCACTTCATTCAAAATACTGTTTACAAACTTGTTAGAAAAGAGTCCGAGGAGTTATGTGCAGATTGTGACGGGTTCTTTTTCCATTCTCTGTTATTGCATCTGTGTTCGACTTTCTGTTCACGTGGTTTTATTTTGAAAAAATTTAAAATAAAAAATGGACAAAAATACAACCTCTCTGCTCAGCATCTGCCACAGAACCAAGAGATGGGTTTTTAAATAAGTCTTTAACAAATGACAGTGATGATTGATTGGAGAGGAAAGACCATTGACTATTATTATTATTGCATTTCCTGCGTTCAAATCCCTTCAAAAAAAACATTGAATTGAACTGGCCTTTGAAAAAACAAAACAAGAAGAACAAGGAGAGTGGTGCCCTGTGTGTGTGTCTGCGTCTGCGTGTGCGTCTCCTCTCCGTGTGTGTCGAATAGCCATGGGTATTGTGTACTACTATATGTACCGCACAGCATCAAACTTGTATTCTGTCTGATGAAAAATTGCATTTGTATTCTGTATTTTAGTATTTATTTTGGTCTTTACAACAGCGAAAAATAACAAGAAAGAAATGAACAAATCCCATCTTTCTAAGACCAAAAAGGGAATAGGCTCAAACATGATTTCTGTTGCCTAATGCTAATCCCAAACTAGCTAATACTCATTGTTGTCTGTGTATTATTGTGTAGTGTTTCCCAACCCCTCTTCAAACCTGTATTAGTGTAAACAAATTTGAGGTCGTGTTCTGCAGTTTAGAATAAAATCATAGTAAATTTCTCCTATGTGAGATAAATAAAGCAAAATCTTATCTTAAAATCCGAATCCTAAAAAAAGACACATTTACAAATCCACACCTTTCCTCTCTCAGCAGCGACTCACCTGCAGAACAGGACCCTGCAGCCTCAGAGTGTGAAGTTTCCGCTCTTCACTCTGCACTAAACACAAAAACAGACCATCTCACACTTGTTCCCTTTATTTCCCGACGACAGAGCGCTCTGAGCGGCTGCACGTGATGAAAACCAAACGCTGAACAGAGCCAGAGATAAGAGGCTGATAACGGACAGACCTCGTGCCGCGGGAGATTGGGTTTATCAAAAACAACCCACTGTCTAAACTTTATCAGAAACACGGCCCATGTTGACACAGACACACAACAACTCTGTGATTGTGATGACGTTATGGGAAAGGCCTTTTTATCTACGGTTTGTTCAAGATTTCTATTAGTACGACTTTAAAGTTTACGATGCTGTTTGAGAGGACAGTGATACGATGTAGGTCACATGAAGGACTATGGGGAATTCGCTTACATTATATCTAGCGTGCTAATAAAAATACTATTATGCAATTGTAGCCTGGTCTTACCTGACCATCGTACTCATTTCATTTGTACTAAAAGGTCTGGATTTGCTCCATTGACTCTGTTAACAGGTGGGAGGGGTCAACTTCTTTTGCAGATCGAAACCATTGGATCTGAGTTTACTGTGACGTATGTAATGAGCCCGAGTGAGTCACTAGCATTTAGCCTAGCTTTAGCATGTAGCCTAGCTTTAGCCATCTCCTTTGCCACCAACGGAGCCCGTGGGGAGTAGAGCCACAACATCTTTGCGTCAATGACATTTACTAAACATTCCTCTTGCGGTACAGAGAGGTGCAGTACAGAGAGGTGCAGTACAGAGAGGTGCCGATGGGGGTGGACCCAGAAGAACGTACAGAGAGGTGCGGTACAGAGAGGTGCGGTACAGAGGTGTGCAGTACAGAGAGGTGCAGTACAGAGAGGTGCAGTACAGAGAGGTGCAGTACAGAGAGGTGCGGTATAGAGAGGTGCAGTACAGAGAGGTGCAGTACAGAGAGGTGCAGTACAGAGAGGTGTGCAGTACAGAGAGGTGTGCAGTACAGAGAGGTGCAGTACAGAGAGGTGCGGTACAGAGGTGTGCGGTACAGAGAGGTGCGGTATAGAGAGGTGCGGTATAGAGAGGTGCAGTACAGAGAGGTGCAGTACAGAGAGGTGCAGTATAGAGAGGTGCAGTACAGAGAGGTGCAGTACAGAGAGGTGCGGTACAGAGGTGTGGTACAGAGAGGTGCAGTACAGAGGTGTGGTACAGAGAGGTGCAGTACAGAGAGGTGCAGTACAGAGAGGTGCAGTACAGAGAGGTGCAGTACAGAGAGGTGCAGTACAGAGAGGTGCAGTACAGAGAGGTGTGCAGTACAGAGAGGTGTGCAGTACAGAGAGGTGCAGTACAGAGAGGTGCAGTACAGAGGTGTGCGGTACAGAGAGGTGCGGTATAGAGAGGTGCAGTACAGAGAGGTGCAGTACAGAGAGGTGCAGTATAGAGAGGTGCAGTACAGAGAGGTGCAGTACAGAGAGGTGCGGTACAGAGGTGCGGTACAGAGAGGTGCAGTACAGAGAGGTGCAGTACAGAGAGGTGCAGTACAGAGAGGTGCAGTACAGAGAGGTGCGGTACAGAGGTGTGCAGTACAGAGAGGTGCAGTACAGAGAGGTGCGGTACAGAGAGGTGCGGTACAGAGGTGTGCGGTACAGAGGTGTGCGGTACAGAGGTGTGCGGTACAGAGGTGTGCGGTACAGAGAGGTGCAGTACAGAGAGGTGCAGTACAGAGAGGTGCGGTACAGAGGTGTGCGGTACAGAGGTGTGCGGTACAGAGAGGTGCAGTACAGAGAGGTGCAGTACAGAGAGGTGCAGTACAGAGAGGTGCAGTACAGAGAGGTGCGGTACAGAGAGGTGCGGTACAGAGGTGTGCAGTATAGAGAGGTGCAGTACAGAGAGGTGCAGTACAGAGAGGTGCGGTACAGAGGTGTGCGGTACAGAGGTGTGCGGTACAGAGAGGTGCGGTACAGAGGTGTGCGGTACAGAGAGGTGCGGTACAGAGAGGTGAAGTACAGAGAGGTGCAGTACAGAGGTGTGCGGTACAGAGGTGTGCAGTACAGAGAGGTGCAGTACAGAGAGGTGCGGTACAGAGAGGTGCAGTACAGAGAGGTGCGGTACAGAGGTGTGCAGTACAGAGAGGTGCAGTACAGAGAGGTGCGGTACAGAGAGGTGCGGTACAGAGGTGTGCGGTACAGAGGTGTGCGGTACAGAGAGGTGCGGTACAGAGAGGTGCAGTACAGAGAGGTGCAGTACAGAGAGGTGCGGTACAGAGGTGTGCGGTACAGAGGTGTGCGGTACAGAGAGGTGCAGTACAGAGAGGTGCAGTACAGAGAGGTGCAGTACAGAGAGGTGCGGTACAGAGAGGTGCGGTACAGAGGTGTGCAGTATAGAGAGGTGCAGTACAGAGAGGTGCAGTACAGAGAGGTGCGGTACAGAGGTGTGCGGTACAGAGGTGTGCGGTACAGAGAGGTGCGGTACAGAGGTGTGCGGTACAGAGAGGTGCGGTACAGAGAGGTGCGGTACAGAGAGGTGAAGTACAGAGAGGTGCAGTACAGAGAGGTGCAGTACAGAGAGGTGCGGTACAGAGGTGTGCGGTACAGAGGTGTGCGGTACAGAGGTGTGCGGTACAGAGAGGTGCGGTACAGAGGTGTGCAGTACAGAGAGGTGCAGTACAGAGAGGTGCAGTACAGAGAGGTGCGGTACAGAGGTGTGCGGTACAGAGGTGTGCGGTACAGAGAGGTGCGGTACAGAGGTGTGCGGTACAGAGAGGTGCAGTACAGAGGTGTGCGGTACAGAGAGGTGCAGTACAGAGGTGTGCGGTACAGAGGTGTGCGGTACAGAGAGGTGCAGTACAGAGAGGTGCAGTACAGAGAGGTGCGGTACAGAGAGGTGCGGTACAGAGGTGTGCGGTACAGAGGTGTGCGGTACAGAGAGGTGCGGTACAGAGGTGTGCGGTACAGAGAGGTGCAGTACAGAGGTGTGCGGTACAGAGGTGTGCGGTACAGAGAGGTGCGGTACAGAGAGGTGCGGTACAGAGAGGTGAAGTACAGAGAGGTGCAGTACCAGACCGGATGAGACCAGACCGGACCAGCAGCCTAACCATGTGCTACACTGACTGTAGAGACCGTTCCTTCTTAACGTGGATGAAGCTGATTCCAGAATGTTCTGCAGAAAGTCAAAGAGTCCACCGCTGTCAAAGAGCCTCCTGCCCAGACCGGCCCCCAGACCGGCCCCCAGACCGGCCCCCAGACCGCCCCCCAGACCGGATTTCAGACCGGATCTCAGACCGGCCCTCAGACCGGCCCTCAGACCGGCCCTCAGACCGGCCCTCAGACCGGCCCTCAGAGGCAGCGTAGGATCCAGGACCACGAAAAGGAGAGGAAGGAGCTGCTCACCAAAGCTTCAACACAGGTACCAGCTGTAGACCAGGTACCAGACCAGCTGTAGACTAGGTACCAGCTGTAGACCAGGTACCAGACCAGCTGTAGACCAGGGACCAGGCCTACTGTTCTCTGTCAGGTTCTCTGTCAGCTGAGGTACCATGAGAATCCCCTGCGCACATGGTTCTTCAGATCCATGTTATTATTATAGGGACCAGGAGAGGGGACCAGGAGAGGGGACCAGGAGAGGGCTAGTGTTGCTTGTGTTGACTCTGGTCCTTGTTTTCCCTCAGACACCAGAGAAGAAGGCGGACAGTGAGGACAGCCCCCCTCAGGCCACCAGAGGTACTGCAGCAGTGGGAGGAGCTCAGTCTCTGGAACCGCCTTTCATCAAACTGAGCCAAGAGGAGTATGGAGAACACCACTCCTCCATCATGCACTGCAGGTGGGAGACCAGGAGGAGACCAGGAGGAGACCAGGAGGAGACCGGGAGGAGACCGGGAGGAGACCAGGAGGAGACCGGGAGGAGACCGGGAGGAGACCAGGAGGAGACCGGGAGGAGACCGGGAGGAGACCGGGAGGAGACCGGGAGGAGACCAGGAGGAGACCGGGAGGAGACCGGAAGGAGACCGGGGGGAGACCAGGGGGAGACCGGGAGGAGACCGGGGAGGAGACCGGGAGGAGACCGGGAGGAGACCGGGAGGAGACCGGGAGGAGACCGGGAGGAGACCGGGAGGAGACCGGGAGGAGACCGGGAGGAGACCGGGAGGAGACCGGAGGAGACCGGAGGAGACCGGGAGGAGACCGGGAGGAGACCGGGAGGAGACCGGGAGGAGACCAGGAGGAGACCGGGAGGAGACCGGGAGGAGACCGGGAGGAGACCGGGAGGAGACCGGGAGGAGACCGGGAGGAGACCGGGAGGAGACCGGGAGGAGACCGGGAGGAGACCGGGAGGAGACCGGGAGGAGACCGGGAGGAGACGGGAGGAGACGGGGGGGAGACCGGGAGGAGACCGGGAGGAGACCGGGGGGAGACCGGGAGGAGACCGGGAGGAGACCGGGAGGAGACCGGGAGGAGACCGGGAGGAGAGGGGACCGGGAGGAGACCGGGAGGAGGAGACCGGGAGGAGGAGACCGGGAGGAGGAGACCGGGAGGAGGAGACCGGGAGGAGGAGACCGGGAGGAGGAGACCGGGAGGAGACCGGGAGGAGACCGGGGGGAGACCGGGGGGAGACCGGGGGGAGACCGGGAGGAGACCGGGAGGAGACCGGGGAGGAGGAGACCGGGAGGAGGAGACCGGGAGGAGGAGACCGGGGGAGGAGACCGGGAGGAGACCGGGGGGAGACCGGGGGGAGACCGGGAGGAGACCGGGAGGAGACCGGGGGAGGAGACCGGGAGGAGGAGACCGGGGGAGGAGACCGGGAGGAGGAGACCGGGGGGAGACCGGGGGGAGACCGGGGGGAGACCGGGGGGAGACCGGGGGGAGACCCGGGGGGAGACGGGGGGAGACCGGGAGGAGACCGGGGGGAGACCGGGGGGAGACCGGGAGGAGACCGGGGGGAGACCGGGAGGAGGGAGACCAGAGTGAGAGACCAGAGTGAGAGACCAGAGTGAGAGACCAGAGTGAGAGACCAGAGAGAGAGAGCCGTTGTAAATGCAGATGTGGTGTTTTCCAGAGTGGACTCGTCTGGACGCAGAGTGGCCAGTTTAGATGTGGATGGAGTGGTCAAGGTAAAGAAACTATTATCATTATTATTAAAGAGGAGGAGACAGATGAGGAGGTGACAGAGGAAGAGGAGGTGAGGAGGTGACAGATGAGGTGGTGACAGAGGAAGAGGAGGTGACAGAGGACGAGGAGGTGACAGATGAGGTGGTGACAGATGAGGAGGTGACGGATGAGGAGGTGACAGAGGAGGAGGTGACAGAGTAGGAAGTGACAGAGGAGGAGGTGACAGAGGAGGAGGTGACAGAGGAGAAGGTGACAGAGGAGGAGGTGACAGAGGAGGAGGTGACAGAGGAGGAGGTGACAGAGGAGGAGGTGACAGAGGAGAAGGTGACAGATGAGGAGGTGACAGAGAAGGGGGAGGTGACAGAGGAGGTGGTGACAGATAAGGTGACAGAGGAGGAGGTGACAGAGAGGGAGGTGACAGAGGAGGAGGTGACAGGAGGAGGAAACTGATGTGGTGACAGTGGAGGAGGTGACAGGAGGAGGAGACTGATGTGGTGACAGTGGAGGAGGTGACAGTGGAGGAGGAGACTTTAGAGGAGGTGACAGAGGAGGAGGAGGTGACGGAGGAGGAGGTGACAAAGGAGTAGGTGACAGAGGAAGGAGGAGGAGACTGATGAGGAGGTGACAGAGGAGGAGGTGACAGAGGAAGGAGGACGAGACAGTGGAGGAGGTGACAGAGGAAGGAGGAGACTGATGAGGTGACAGAGGAGGAGGTGACAGACGAGGATGTGACAGTGGAGGAGGTGAGAGGAAGGAGGAGGAGACTGATGAGAAGGTGACAGAGGAGGAGGTGACAGGAGGAGGAGGAGACTGATGAGAAGGTGACAGAGGAGGAGGTGACAGGAGGAGGAGGAGACTGATGAGGAGGTGACAGTGGAAGAGGAGACAGATGAGGAGGAGGTGACTGATGAGGAGGTGACAGTGGAGGAGGAGACTGATGAGGTGACAGTGGAAGAGGAGACAGATGAGGAGGAGGTGACAGTGGAGGAGGTGACAGTGGAAGAGGAGACAGATGAGGAGGAGGAGACAGTGGAGGAGGTGACAGTGTGTTGTGTGCAGGTGTGGTCCTTTAACCCTCTGATGCAGACCAGAGCCACCATCATGTCCAAGTCTCCTCTGCTCTCACTGGAATGGGCCATGAAGCCAGACAGACTGGTACACACACACACACACACACACACACACAGAGACACACACACACACACACACACACACACACACACACACACACACACACACACACACACACACACACACACACACAGACACACACACACACAGACACACACAGACACACACACACACACACAGAGACAGACACACACACACACACAGACACACTCACACACACATACATGTTTTTGCTACATGGTGAGGACCAAATTTTTTGGTGTGTTTAGGACCTACCGCGTGGGGTCCTCACTTTGACCAAGAATTTAAGGCATGTCTTAAGTCATAAAAAAATGATATAAAGACAGATAATTTTTTTGGACTGTGGTCTTCCTGAAATCATGTTAATCATCACAATTCATTTTTATTTTTTTTGTCCGATTTTTCTATTCTCCTGGGGACCTCATACCATAAACCACCAGCGGGTGTCACTATTAAAAAAACCTTGTTTTAGTGATGCCTAGTGGGGACCTTTCTTCACACATGAACAGAACTATTACAAATGTATATGAAAGCTTTTCATTTTGATGAAAAGATCCTGCTGAAGAAGGTAAACATTAATAACATTCATAAGTAAGCTGAATTTTAAGAAAGATGGGTATCATATTTTTATTAACTTCGTATTGAATTGAGTTTATCTCCATCTTGACTATTTACTGTAATTATGTATTGATTAATGATCTGTGCACCTAAGACTAATAAACAAAGTTTAAATAATATATATTTTTTATTATTATTCTTAGCAACATGTGCATATTATTTTCTGCATAATCATGAAATTATGTTGAATTGATAGTATCACTATGAACTAAAACTAATGAGGTATAAGATTCAGCCCACTGCTTAATGCACATTTTGGTGCATGAATGAGAGCATGGATGAGTGGATCCTTGATTTAAGCGCTTTGAGTGTCTAACAAAGGTAGAAAAGTGTTATATAGATGTAACCATTCTCTTTTATTAACTTGTTTTCTGAAAATACCACAAGATGTATGGAAAACAAATCACAACATCTGTAAACTGCACAGCAAACTAGGCAAGGAGAGAGGAGAGGAGACAAGGAGAGAGGAGAGGTGACAAGGAGAGAGGAGGAGACAAGGAGAGAGGAGGAGACAAGGAGAGGAGGAGACAAGGAGAGAGGAGAGAAAACAAGGAGAGACAACAAGGAGGAGACAAGGAGAGAGGAGAGAAAACAAGGAGAGACAACAAGGAGGAGAGGTGACAAGGAGAGAGGAGAGGTGACAAGGAGAGAGGAGAGGTGACAAGGAGAGAGGAGAGGTGACAAGGAGAGAGGAGGAGACATGGAGAGAGGAGACAAGGAGAGAGGAGAGGTGACAAGGAGAGAGGAGGAGACAAGGAGAGAGGAGAGGAGACAAGGAGAGAGGAGGAGACATGGAGAGAGGAGAGGAGACAAGGAGAGAGGAGAGGTGACAAGGAGAGAGGAGGAGACAAGGAGAGAGGAGAGGTGACAAGGAGAGAGGAGGAGACAAGGAGAGAGGAGACAAGGAGAGAGGAGGAGACAAGGAGAGGAGGAGACAAGGAGAGAGGAGAGAAAACAAGGAGAAACAACAAGGAGGAGACAAGGAGAGAGGAGAGAAAACAAGGAGAGACAACAAGGAGGAGACAAGGAGAGAGGAGAGGTGACAAGGAGAGAGGAGAGGTGACAAGGAGAGAGGAGGAGACATGGAGAGAGGAGGAGAGAGAGAGAGGAGACAAGGAGAGAGGAGGAGAAAGGAGAGAGGAGGTGACAAGGAGAGAGGAGGAGACAAGGAGAGAGGCGAGGTGACAAGGAGAGAGGAGGAGACAAGGAGAGAGGAGAGGTGACAAGGAGAGAGGAGAGGTGACAAGGAGAGAGGAGGAGACATGGAGAGAGGAGAGGAGACAAGGAGAGAGGAGAGGTGACAAAGAGAGAGGAGGAGACAAGGAGAGAGGAGAGGTGACAAGGAGAGAGGAGAGGTGACAGGAGAGGAGAGAGGAGGAGAGAGGAGGAGACAAGAGGAGAGGAGACAAGGAGAGAGGAGAGGTGACAAGGAGAGAGGAGAGGAGACAAGGAGAGAGGAGAGAGGTGACAAGGAGAGAGGAGGAGACAAGGAGAGAGGAGAGGAGACAAGGAGAGAGGAGAGGTGACAAGGAGAGAGGAGGAGACAAGGAGAGAGGAGAGGTGACAAGGAGAGAGGAGGAGACAAGGAGAGAGGAGGAGACAAGGAGAGAGGAGAGGAGACAAGGAGAGAGAGAGGAGACAAGGAGAGAGGAGAGGAGACAAGGAGAGAGGAGAGGTGACAAGGAGAGAGGAGGAGACAAGGAGAGAGGAGAGGACAAGGAGAGAGAGGGACAAGGAGAGAGAGAGGAGACAAGGAGAGAGGAGAGGAGACAAGGAGAGAGGAGAGGTGACAAGGAGAGAGAGGAGAGACAGGAGAGAGGAGAGGAGACAAGGAGAGAGGAGAGACAAGGAGAGAGGAGAGACAAGGAGAGAGGAGGAGACAAGGAGAGAGGAGAGGAGACAAGGAGAGAGGAGAGGTGACAAGGAGAGAGAGGAGACAAGGAGAGAGGAGAGGAGACAAGGAGAGAGGAGGAGACAAGGAGAGAGGAGGAGACAAGGAGAGAGGAGAGGAGACAAGGAGAGAGGAGAGGTGACAAGGAGAGAGGAGGAGACAAGGAGAGAGGAGAGGTGACAAGAGAGAGGAGAGGGAGGAGAGAGAGGAGACAGGAGAGAGGAGAGGAGACAGGAGAGAGGAGAGGAGAGAGGAGGAGACAGGAGAGAGGAGAGGAGACAAGGAGAGAGGAGAGGAGACAAGGAGAGAGGAGAGGTGACAAGGAGAGAGGAGAGGAGACAAGGAGAGAGGAGAGGTGACAAGGAGAGAGGAGAGGTGACAAGGAGAGAGGAGGAGACAGGAGAGAGGAGAGGAGACAAGGAGAGAGGAGAGGTGACAAGGAGAGAGGAGGAGACATGGAGAGAGGAGAGGAGACAAGGAGAGAGGAGGAGGTGACAAGGAGAGAGGAGGAGACAGGAGAGAGGAGAGGAGACAAGGAGAGAGGAGGAGACAAGGAGAGAGGAGAGGTGACAAGGAGAGAGGAGAGGTGACAAGGAGAGAGGGAGGTGACAAGGAGAGAGGAGGAGACAAGGAGAGAGGAGAGGTGACAAGGAGAGAGGAGGAGACAAGGAGAGAGGGAGGAGACAAGGAGAGAGGAGAGGTGACAAGGAGAGAGGAGGAGACAAGGAGAGAGGAGAGGAGACAAGGAGAGAGGAGGAGACAAGAGAGAGGAGAGAGACAAGGAGAGAGGAGGAGACAAGGAGAGAGGAGAGGTGACAAGGAGAGAGGAGGTGACAAGGAGAGAGGAGAGGTGACAGGAGAGGAGAGGAGACAAGAGAGAGGAGAGAGACAAGGAGAGAGGAGAGGAACAAGAGAGAGAGAGGAGACAAGGAGAGAGAGAGAGGAGAGGAAGGAGAAAGAGAGAGGACAAGAGAAGGGAGAACAAGGAGAGAGAGAGGAGACAAGAGAGAGAGGAGACAGGAGAGAGGAGAGGAGAGAGGAGAGACAAGGAGAGAGGAGGAGACAAGGAGAGAGGAGAGGAGACAAGGAGAGGAGAGGAGACAAGGAGAGAGGAGAGGTGACAAGAGAGAGGAGAGGTGACAAGGAGAGAGGAGAGGTGACAAGGAGAGAGGAGAGGAGACAAGAGAAAGGAGAGAGGAGAGAGACAAGGAGAGAGAGAGGAGACAAGGAGAGAGGAGAGGAGACAAGGAGAGGAGAGGAGAGGTGAGAGGAGAAGGAGAGGAGACAGGAGAGAGAGGTGACAAGGAGAGAGGAGGAGACAAGGAGAGAGGAGAGGTGACAAGGAGAGGAGGAGACAAGGAGAGAGGAGAGAGACAAGGAGAGAGGAGAGGAGACAAGGAGAGAGGAGAGGTGACAAGGAGAGAGAGAGGAGAGGAGAGGAGAGGAGAGGAGACAAGGAGAGAGGAGAGGTGACAAGAGAGAGAGGAGAGGTGACAAGGAGAGAGGAGAGGGACAAGGAGAGAGAGAGGCAAGGAGAGAGGAGAGGTGACAGGAGAGGAGAGAGAGGAGAGGAGAGAGAGAGAGGAGACAAGAGAGAGAGGAGAGGAGACAAGGAGAGAGGAGAGGAGACAAGAGAGGAGACAAGAGAGACAAGGAGAGAGAGAGAGGAGACAAGGAGAGAGGAGGAGACAAGGAGAGAGGAGAGGTGACAAGGAGAGAGGAGGAGACAAGGAGAGAGGAGGAGAGGACAGAGAGAGAGAGGAGAGGAGACAAGGAGAGAGGAGAGGTGACAAGGAGAGAGGAGGAGACAAGGAGAGAGGAGGAGACAAGAGAGAGGAGGAGACAAGGAGAGAGGAGAGGTGACAAGGAGAGAGGAGAGGTGACAAGGAGAGAGGAGAAAGGACAAGGAGAGAAACAAGAGAGAGGAGACAAGGAGAGAGGAGAGGAGACAAGAGAGAGAGAGGTGACAAGGAGAGAGGAGGAGACAAGAGAGAGAGGAGGAGACAAGGAGAGGACAAGGAGAGGTGACAAGGAGAGAGGAGAGGAGACAAGGAGAGAGGAGAGGAGACAAGGAGAGAGGAGAGGAGACAAGGAGAGAGGAGAGTGACAAGGAGAGAGGAGGTGACAAGGAGAGAGGAGGAGACAAGGAGAGAGGAGAGGAGACAAGGAGAGAGGAGAGAGTGACAAGGAGAGAGGAGAGGTGACAAGGAGAGAGAGAGACAAGAGAGAGGAGACAAGGAGAGAGGAGAGAGAGGACAAGGAGAGGAGGAGGAGGAGACAAGGAGAGAGGAGAGGAGACAAGGAGAGAGGAGAGGTGACAAGGAGAGAGGAGAGGAGACAAGGAGAGAGGAGAGGGACAAGGAGAGAGGAGAGGAGACAAGGAGAGAGGAGAGGAGACAAGGAGAGAGGAGAGGAGACAAGGAGAGAGGAGAGGTGACAAGGAGAGAGGAGAGACAAGGAGAGAGGAGAGGTGACAAGGAGAGAGGAGAGGTGACAAGGAGAGAGGAGAGACAAGGAGAGAGGAGAGGAGACAAGGAGAGAGGAGAGGTGACAAGGAGAGAGAGGAGGAGGAGACAAGGAGAGGAGGACAAGGAGAGAGGAGGAAGACAAGGAGAGAGAGAGTGAGACAAGAGAGAGGAGGAGGTGACAAGGAGAGAGGAGGAGACAAGGAGAGAGGAGAGGAGACAAGGAGAGAGGAGAGGTGACAAGGAGAGAGGAGAGGAGAGAGAGGAGAGAGAGGAGACAAGGAGAGAGGGAGGAGACAAGGAGAGAGAGAGGGAGACAAGGAGAGAGGAGGACAAGGAGAGAGGAGAGGTGACAAGAGAGAGAGAGAGAGAGGAGACAAGGAGAGAGGAGAGGTGACAAGGAGAGAGAGAGAGAGACAAGGAGAGAGAGAGGAGACAGAGGAGAGGAGAGACAAGGAGAGAGAGGAGACAAGGAGAGAGAGAGAGGAGGGACAAGAGAGAGAGAGGAGACAGGAGAGAGGAGAGGAGACAAGGAGAGAGGAGAGGTGACAAGGAGAGAGGAGGAGACAAGGAGAGAGAGAGGGACAAGGAGAGAGAGGACAAGGAGAGAGGAGGAGACAAGGAGAGAGGAGGAGACAAGGAGAGAGGGAGGTGACAAGGAGAGAGGAGGAGACAAGGAGAGAGGAGAGGTGACAAGGAGAGAGGAGAGGTGACAAGGAGAGAGGAGAGACAAGGAGAGAGAGAGGTGACAAGGAGAGAGGAGGAGACAAGAGAGAGGAGAGGGACAAGGAGAGAGGAGGACAAGGAGAGAGGAGAGGTGACAAGGAGAGAGAGAGGAGACAAGGAGAGAGGAGAGGAGACAAGGAGAGAGGAGGAGACAAGGAGAGAGAGAGGAGACAAGGAGAGAGAGAGGTGACAAGGAGAGAGGAGGAGACAAGGAGAGAGGAGAGGTGACAAGGAGAGAGGAGAGGTGACAAGGAGAGAGGAGAGGAGACAAGGAGAGAGGAGAGGTGACAAGGAGAGAGGAGGAGACAAGGAGAGAGGAGAGGTGACAAGGAGAGAGAGAGGAGACAAGGAGAGAGGAGAGGTGACAAGGAGAGAGGAGGTGACAAGGAGAGAGGAGAGGTGACAAGGAGAGAGGAGGAGACAAGGAGAGAGGAGGAGACAAGGAGAGAGAGAGACAAGGAGAGAGGAGAGGTGACAAGGAGAGAGGAGAGGTGACAAGGAGAGAGGAGGAGACAAGGAGAGAGGAGAGGTGACAAGGAGAGAGGAGGAGACAAGGAGAGAGGAGAGGACAAGGAGAGAGGAGACAAGGAGAGAGGAGAAAGGGACAAGGAGAGAGGAGGAGACAAGGAGAGAGGAGAGGAGACAAGGAGAGAGGAGAGGTGACAAGGAGAGAGGAGAGGACAAGGAGAGGAGGAGAGAGAGGAGAGAGAGAGAGGAGACAAGGAGAGGAGAGAGACAAGGAGAGAGGAGAGGAGACAAGGAGAGAGGAGGAGACAAGGAGAGAGGAGAGAGACAAGGAGAGAGGAGAGGTGACAAGGAGAGAGAGGAGACAAGGAGAGAGGAGAGGAGACAAGGAGAGAGAGGAGACAAGGAGAGAGGAGGACAAGAGGAGAGGAGACAAGGAGAGAGGAGGAGACAAGGAGAGGAGACAAGGAGACAAGGAGACAAGGAGAGGAGAGGAGACAGGAGAAGAGGAGGAGACAAGGAGAGAGGAGGAGACAAGGAGAGAGGAGAGGTGACAAGGAGAGAGAGGAGACAAGGAGAGAGGAGAGGAGACAAGGAGAGAGGAGAGGTGACAAGGAGAGAGGAGAGGTGACAAGGAGAGGAGACAAGGAGAGGGAGAGGAGACAAGGAGAGAGGAGGAGACAAGGAGAGAGGAGAGGTGACAAGGAGAGAGGAGAGGAGACAAGGAGAGAGGAGAGGTGACAGGAGAGAGGAGACAAGGAGAGGAGAGGAGACAGAGAGAGAGGAGACAAGGAGAGAGGAGAGGTGACAAGGAGAGGAGACAAGGAGAGAGGAGGAGACAAGGAGAGAGGAGAGGTGACAGGAGAGAGAGAGACAAGGAGAGAGGAGAGAGACAAGGAGAGAGGAGGAGACAAGGAGAGAGGAGAGGTGACAAGGAGAGGAGAGGAGACAGGAGAGAGGAGGAGACAAGGAGAGAGGAGGAGACAAGGAGAGAGGAGAGGTGACAAGGAGAGAGGAGGAGACAAGGAGAGAGGAGGAGACAAGGAGAGAGAGAGGACAAGGAGAGTACAAGGAGAGGAGACAAGGAGAGAGGAGAGGTGACAAGGAGAGAGGAGAGGTGACAAGGAGAGGAGACAAGGAGAGAGGAGAGGTGACAAGGAGAGGAGAGGAGACAAGGAGAGAGGGAGACAAGGAGAGGAGGAGACAAGGAGAGAGAGGAGACAAGGAGAGAGAGAGGAGACAAGGAGAGAGGAGGAGACAAGGAGAGAGGAGAGGTGACAAGGAGAGGAGAGGAGACAAGGAGAGAGAGGAGACAAGGAGAGGAGAGGAGACAAGGAGAGAGGAGAGGAGACAAGAGAGAGGAGGGAGACAAGGAGAGAGGAGGAGGAAAACAAGGAGAAACAAGGAGGAGACAAGGAGAGAGGAGGAGACAAGGAGAGAGAGGAAGGAGAGAGGAGGAGACAAGGAGAGAGGAGGAGACAAGGAGAGAGGAGGAGACAAGGAGAGAGGAGAGGAGACAAGGAGAGAGAGAGGAGACAAGGAGAGAGGAGGAGACAAGGAGAGAGGAGGAGACAAGGAGAGAGGAGGAGACAAGGAGAGAGGAGGAGACAAGGAGAGAGGAGGAGACAAGGAGAGAGGAGGAGACAAGGAGAGAGGAGGAGACAAGGAGAGAGGAGGAGACAAGGAGAGAGGAGGAGACAAGGAGAGAGGAGGAGACAAGGAGAGAGGAGGAGACAAGAAGAGAGGAGGAGACAAGGAGAGAGGAGGAGACAAGGAGAGAGGAGGAGACAAGGAGAGAGGAGGAGACAAGAAGAGAGGAGGAGACAAGGAGAGAGGAGGAGACAAGGAGAGAGGAGGAGACAAGGAGAGAGGAGGAGACAAGGAGAGAGGAGGAGACAAGGAGAGAGGAGGAGACAAGGAGAGAGGAGGAGACAAGGAGAGAGGAGGAGACAAGGAGAGAGAGGAGGAGACAAGGAGAGAGGAGGAGACAAGGAGAGAGGAGGAGACAAGGAGAGAGGAGAGGAGACAAGGAGAGAGGAGGAGACAAGGAGAGAGGAGGAGACAAGGAGAGAGGAGGAGACAAGGAGAGAGAGGAGACAAGGAGAGAGGAGGAGACAAGGAGAGGAGAGGTGACAAGGAGAGAGGAGGAGACAAGGAGAGAGGGAGGAGACAAGGAGAGAGGAGAGGTGACAAGGAGAGAGGAGAGGTGACAAGGAGAGAGGAGGAGACAAGGAGAGAGGAGGAGACAAGGAGAGGAGGATGACAAGGAGAGGAGGACAAGGAGAGAGGAGGAGACAAGGAGAGAGGAGAGGAGACAAGGAGAGAGGAGAGGTGACAAGGAGAGAGGAGAGGTGACAAGGAGAGGAGAGGTGACAAGGAGAGAGGAGAGGTGACAAGGAGAGAGGAGAGGTGACAAGGAGAGAGGAGGAGGTGACAAGGAGAGAGGAGAGGTGACAAGGAGAGAGAGGAGGAGACAAGGAGAGAGAGAGGTGACAAGGAGAGAGGAGAGGTGACAAGGAGAGAGGAGAGGAGACATGGAGAGAGAGGAGAGGTGACAAGGAGAGAGGAGAGGTGACAAGGAGAGAGGGAGGTGACAAGGAGAGAGGAGGTGACAAGGAGAGAGGAGGAGACAAGGAGAGAGGAGGTGACAAGGAGAGAGGAGAGGTGACAAGGAGAGAGGAGAGGTGACAAGGAGAGAGGAGAGGTGACAAGGAGAGAGGAGAGGTGACAAGGAGAGAGGAGAGGTGACAAGGAGAGAGGAGAGGAGACAAGGAGAGAGGGAGGTGACAAGGAGAGAGGAGGAGACAAGGAGAGAGGAGAGGTGACAAGGAGAGAGGAGGAGGACAAGGAGAGAGGAGAGGAGACAAGGAGAGAGGAGAGGTGACAAGGAGAGAGGAGGAGACAAGGAGAGAGGAGAGGAGACAAGGAGAGAGGAGAGGTGACAAGGAGAGAGGAGGAGACAAGGAGAGAGGAGAGGAGACAAGGAGAGAGGAGAGGAGACAAGGAGAGAGGAGGAGACAGGAGAGAGGAGAGGAGACAAGGAGAGAGGAGAGGTGACAAGGAGAGAGGAGGAGACAAGGAGAGAGGAGAGGTGACAAGGAGAGAGGAGAGGTGACAAGGAGAGAGGAGAGGAGACAAGGAGAGAGGAGAGGTGACAAGGAGAGAGGAGGAGACAAGGAGAGAGGAGAGGAGACAAGGAGAGAGGAGAGGAGACAAGGAGAGAGGAGAGGAGACAAGGAGAGAGGAGAGGAGACATGGAGAGAGGAGAGGTGACAAGGAGAGGAGACAAGGAGAGAGGAGGAGACAAGGGGAGAGGAGGAGACAAGGAGAGAGGAGGAGACAAGGAGAGAGGAGAGGAGACAAGGAGAGAGGAGAGGAGACAAGGAGAGAGGAGGAGACAAGGAGAGAGGAGAGGTGACAAGGAGAGAGGAGGAGACAAGGAGAGAGGAGAGGAGACAAGGAGAGAGGAGAGGTGACAAGGAGAGAGGAGAGGAGACAAGGAGAGAGGAGAGGTGAAAACAAAGTTTTAACCTTACTTTGTTTTTCTATTTAAAGCATCGATTCGATTCTTAACATAGAACTTCACTGCCTTCCAGGTTCTATCTTTGAGGGCATGAGGTGAGCTCTGAATGCATTCCTCGCACTGAGCCTTCCCCGGAACCTTGAGTGTTCTGATGCAGTCTTTCAACGTTTTTTCAACAGCTTCAACTTCTTCTGGTGCCCACTTCCTTCGTTCACTTTCTTTGTGTCGTCCTTCTGATTTTCCTACACTAAAACATGACAGTTATAGTTCTCTTAAAGTGAAAAACACACAGCTCAGCAATGACAATAACAGCGGTCAGTGTTTTCTCAAGTCATTTAACAGGATCCTGAGCACTGCTATCAAAATGTGATTTTGGTGGTCCCAACACTCTCCTTTCTCCTTGTCTCCTCTCCTCTCTCCTTGTCTCCTCTCCTCTCTCCTTGTCTCCTCTCCTCTCTCCTTGTCTCCTCTCCTCTCTCGTCTGCTCTCCTCTCTCCTTGTCTGCTCTCCTCTCTCCTTGTCTCCTCTCCTCTCTCGTCTCCTCTCCTCTCTCCTTGTCTCCTCTCCTCTCTCGTCTGCTCTCCTCTCTCCTTGTCTGCTCTCCTCTCTCCTTGTCACCTCTCCTCTCTCCTTGTCTGCTCTCCTCTCTCCTTGTCTCCTCTCCTCTCTCCTTGTCTGCTCTCCTCTCTCCTTGTCTGCTCTCCTCTCTCTCTCCTCTCCTCTCTCCTTGTCTCCTCCTCTCTCCTTGTCTCCTCTCCTCTCCTTGTCTCCTCTCCTCTCTCCTTGTCTGCTCTCCTCTCTCCTTGTCTACTCTCCTCTCTCCTTGTCTCCTCGTCTGCTCTCCTCTCCTCTCTCCTTGTCTGCTCTCCTCTCTCCTTGTCTGCTCTCCTCTCTCCTTGTCTGCTCTCCTCTCTCCTTGTCACCTCTCCTCTCTCCTTGTCTGCTCTCCTCTCTCCTTGTCTGCTCTCCTCTCTCCTTGTCTGCTCTCCTCTCTCCTGTCTCTCTCTCCTCTCCTCTCCTCTCTCCTTGTCTCCTCTCCTCTCTCCTTGTCTGCTCTTTCTCTCCTTGTCTGCTCTCCTCTCTCTGTCTGCTCTCCTCTCCTCTCTCCTTGTCTGCTCTCCTCTCCTCTCTCCCTTGTCTGCTCTCCTCTCCTCTCTCCTTGTCTGCTCTCCTCTCTCCTTGTCTGCTCTCCTCTCTCCTTGTCTGCTCTCCTCTCTCCTTGTCTGCTCTCCTCTCTCCTTGTCTGCTCTCCTCTCCCCTTGTCTGCTCTCCTCTCTCCTTGTCTGCTCTCCTCTCTCCTTGTCTGCTCTCCTCTCCTCTCTCCTTGTCTGCTCTCCTCTCCTCTCTCCTTGTCTGCTCTCCTCTCTCCTTGTCTGCTCTCCTCTCTCTCTCCTTGTCTGCTCTCCTCTCCTCTCTCCTTGTCTGCTCTCCTCTCCCTTCTGCTCTCTCTCTCCTTGTCTGCTCTCTCCTCTCTCCTTGTCTCCTCTCTCCTCTCTCCTCTCTCTCTGTCTGCTCTCTCTCTCTTGTCTCCTCTCCTCTCTCGTCTGCTTGTCTCCTCTCTCCTTGTCTGCTCTCCTCTCTCCTGTGTCTCCTCTCCTCTCTCTGTCTCTCTCCTCTCTCCTTGTCTGCTCCTCCTCCTCTCCTTGTCTCCTCTCTCTCTCTCTGCTCTCCTCTCTCCTTGTCTGCTCTCTCTCTCCTTGTCTGCTCTCCTCTCTCCTTGTCTCTCTCTCCTCTCCTTGTTCTGCTCTCCTCTCTCCCTGTCTGCTCTCTCCTCCTCTCTCCTTGTCTCCTCTCCTCTCTCGTCTGCTCTCCTCTCTCCTTGTCTGCTCTCCTCTCTCCTTGTCTCCTCTCTCTGTCTCCTCTCCTCTCTTCCTTGTCTCCTCTCCTCTCTCCTTGTCTGCTCTCCTCTCTCCTTGTCTGCTCTCCTCTCTCCTTGTCTCCTCTCCTCTCTCCTGTCTGCTCTCCTCTCTCCTTGTCCTGCTCTCCCTCTCTCTCCTTGTCTCCTCTCCTCTCTCCTTGTCTGCTCTCCTCTCTCCTTGTCTGCTCTCCTCTCTCTGGTCGCTCTCCTCTCTCCTTGTCTGCTCTCCTCTCTCCTTGTCTCCTCTCCTCTCTCGTCTGCTCTCCTCTCTCCTTGTCTGCTCTCCTCTCTCCTTGTCTCCTCTCCTCTCTCGTCTGCTCTCCTCTCTCCTTGTCTGCTCTCCTCTCTCCTTGTCTCCTCTCCTCTCTCGTCTGCTCTCCTCTCTCCTTGTCTCTCCTCTCTCTCGGGTCTGCTCTCCTCTCTCTTGTCCTCTCTCTCTCCCTTGTCATTGCTCTCACTCTCTCTTGTCTGCTCTCTCTCTGCTCCTTGTCTGCTCTCTCTCTCTCCTTGTCTCCTCTCCTCTCATCTCGTCTCTCTCCTCTCTCTCTTGTCTGCTCTCCTCTCTCCTTGTCTGCTCTCCTCTCCTTCTCTGCTCTCCTCTCTCTCCTTGCTCTCCTCTCTCCTCTCTCTCCTCTCTCTCTGTCTCCTCTCTCTCTCTGCTCTCCTCTCTCCTTGTCTCCTCTCCTCTCTCGTCTTGCTCTCCTCTCTCCTCTCTCCTCTCTCCTTAGTCTCCTCTCCTCTCTCGTCTGCTCTCCTCTCTCCTTGTCTGCCTCTCTCTCTCTTGTCTGCTCTCCTCAAATCTTGTCTGCTCTCCTCTCTCCTTGTCTCCTCTCCTCTCTCGTCTCCTCACCTCTCTCCTTGTCTGCTCTCCTCTCCTCTGCTCTCCTCTCTCCTCTCTGTCTGCTCTCCTCTCTCCTTGTCTCCTCTCCTCTCTCGTCTGCTCTCCTCTCTCCTTGTCCTCTCTATCCTCTCTCCTCTGTCTCCTCTCCTCTCTCTCCTCTCCTTTCTCCCTGTCTCCTCTCTCCTCTCTCCTTCTCCTCTCCTCTCTCCTCTCCTCTCCTCTCTTGTCTCCTCTCCTCTCTCCTTGTCACCTCTCTCTCCTCTCCTTGTCTCCTCTCTCTCTTGTCTCTCCTCTCTCTTGTCTCCTCTCTCCCTCTCTATGTCTCTCCTTGTCTCCTCTCTCCTTGTCTCTCCTCCTCTCTCCTTGTCTCCTCTCCTCCTCTCTCCTTGTCTCCTCCTCTCTCCTTGTCACCTCTCCTCTCTACTTGTCTCCTCTCCTCTCTCCTCGTCTGCTCTCCCTCTCCTCTCTCTCCTCTCCTCTCCTCTCCTCTCTCCTCTCTCCCTCTCCTCTCTCTCCTTGTCTGCTCTCCTCTCCTCTCGTCCTTGTCTGCTCTCTCTCTCCTTGTCTGCTCTCTCTCTCCTTGTCTCCTCTCCTCTCTCCTTGTCACCTCTCCTCTCTCCTTGTCTCCTCTCCTCTCTCCTCGTCTGCTCTCCTCTCCTCTCTCTTGTCTACTCTCCTCTCCCTCCTCTCTCCTCTGCTCTCCTCTCCTCTCCTCTTGTCTGCTCTCCTCTCCTCTCTCCTTGTCTGCTCTCCTCTCTCCTTGTCTGCTCTCTCTCTCCTTGTCTGCTCTCCTCTCTCCTCCTCCTCTCCTTGTCTCCTCTCCTCTCTCCTTGTCTGCTCTCTCTCTCCTTGTCTGCTCTCCTCTCTCTTGTCTGCTCTCTCTCCTCTCTCCTTGTCTGCTCTCCTCTCCTCTCTCCTTGTCTGCTCTCCTCTCCTCTCTCCTTGTCTGCTCTCCTCTCTCCTTGTCTCCTCTCCTCTCTCCTCTGTCCTGTCTGCTCCTCTCTCCTTGTCTGCTCTCCTCTCTCTCTCCTTGTCTGCTCTCCTCTCTCCTTCTCGTCTGCTCTCCTCTCTCCTTGTCTGCTCTCCTCTCCTCTCTCCTTGTCTGCTCTCCTCTCTCCTTGTCTGCTCTCCTCTCTCCTTGTCTCCTCTCTTCTCTCCTTGTCTCCTCTCCTCTCTCCTTGTCTCCTCTCCTCTCTCGTCTGCTCTCCTCTCTCCTTGTCTGCTCTCCTCTCTCCTTGTCTCCTCTCCTCTCTCCTTGTCTGCTCTCTTCTCTCCTTGTCTGCTCTCCTCTCTCGTCTGCTCTCCTCTCCTCTCTCCTTGTCTCCTCTCCTCTCTCGTCTGCTCTCCTCTCCTCTCTCCTTGTCTCCTCTCCTCTCTCGTCTGCTCTCCTCTCCTCTCTCCTTGTCTGCTCTCTTCTCTTACAATAAAAATAAAATGATAATCTTTGAAACAGCATTACCTTGGGCTGGAGGGGAACATTTCTTTCCTCCAATGACTTTTTCACTCATTTTGTCTATAAAGGAACATCAACAATCAGAGGTGGAATAATATATAAGCATAATTCTATCGCCTAGCAGTCTAGTCAGAATACCGAGCTGCTATGAAGGAAGAAAGGCAGCTGCAATTGCTCTTCCATACCTGATGATGTTGAGGCTTTTGGTGAAGGGACCTCATCAGTGTCACCCTCATCTTCACTCTCAGATTCATCCGTATTCAGAGTGATTTCCTCTGAGGAACACAAAAAGCTTATATGTAAAACTCAAATCAATTTAGCATATAAAAACTACATAAACACCAAAAAAGGCAGGAAATAGTGCAAAGGAAAAAGAGCATACAGCAAATATCAAGGTGTGTATTATGTGTAATATACAAGCAAGCAGTTTTTTAGCAGGATATGTTGATATGTCTTACCTTGTGGATCAATGTTGATCTGATCAAGATTCTTGCCCTTGAACTTTGACATCTTCCCTTGTTCCATGGCAAGAAGAACCTTGCTTACTTTTGCTAATTGTAAAGTCCCTTCAGGCAGCCGATAATATTGACGATGCACTCTTATATCATGCCCGAGGAAGTCAGCCAGGTCATCCATCTCGTTGTCTTTTAGGTTTAGGACCTTGGACATTGTGGCTACGTGCTTCCTCAGTTTAGTGGACGATAATGCTTTTGGGTTTTTTGCCCCACAACTATGAGCAATTTGACGAATAACATCTGGTCCTCTGAAGTAGCTAAGAGCTTGTGGTTTTCCAAAAAACGACGATGTTGATGTGATGTCACGATCTAAAAGTAAGGTCTCCTCCCTCTCCTGGGCCTTCATTGCTTGTGCCTTCTCATAGCGATCACTACACACATTATGATGTTCTTGTAGTTTCTTTCTACGACGCTTCTGTCGACTTTGATCCTAAAACACACAAATTAATAATTTTCGGAATGCTTTTTCAAAATCCCTAGATCTTTTTCTTTAGTATCAAGATTACAATTATATGAAATTTGTGGTACAGTACTTTCATTTTGTCTGGTCTGTTAACTGTCATACACGTAAAAAAAAAATTACCACTGTATTCTCTCTACTTTTGGAACTGTTGAAAGGGTAAAAGTCGATGCAAATTGTCCAGAAAACAAAACTCAATGATTATTTATATTCTTTTATGAACGCTAAAATTACTCAAACTCAAGTCTTACATAATTTATATAGTTCCAAGTCATAACAGATATTATCTCTAGACATATAGAGCTGACTTTTAGTGTGAAAACATCCTATCGTACTTAGCATTGTAGCTAAATGCTAAGGTCAGACAAATCTCACCATGTGGGTTAGCTGATCTAGCTAATTGCGTTAGCGGTTAGCTCATGGTTAAATTCACCAATTCCTCATCAACAAAGCACTCTAATTCCATCATGTAAGCGTATGCAAGTCAAGTGCACAGTTTCATATCATAATGTTGGTAGTTTAGTAAAATATATCATCTTACCATTTCTGTGTGGCTGCTGTCTCTTGCTTTCTGGCGCGGCCTGAAAGGAGCAAGTGCAGACAAGGGGGCGTGGCCTCGACGAGAGGGAACCATCATTAGCTTGTAGCTTGTAGCATGATGCTAACAAAGCTACCTGGTTAGCACATGGATTTATTACATAACGCGTTAGCATTGTCAACATTAGCAAATTTGAGTTGCTTAACCACATTGCTCCTCTCTATGTCTCTGTATCTTTATTAAGAAGAAAATGTATTTAATGGTGGAGGAATGGGAATGTTTTATGTCTATTTGTTTTTATTCTTTTTTCCCTTCTGTATCAAAATGGCAGATTTAGTTTAACCCATAGCGTTATGTTAGTTTTGCTGAAAAACCCTGTGGGGCTGATGGTATAGGTATCGTCGGGGTGGGGACCTCAAAATTCAGGTTGTGTGTAACCACTCAGGCAATACTGAGACTAGGAGGAGGGAGTAAATGAAAGTATAATGGTCAGCTGAAATGTAATTTTCCAAAGTTATTATACATGAATAGATCAAACTGAGGTCAGAAAATTAAACTTGAATTAAATTAACTAACTTCGGATTTATTAATTTCATATTTTATCTCTATACCTAGAGATATCAATATTATAATTATATTTGATCTCTTAGAGCTCTCAGCGCATGTACAACATGCAGCAGTTCGTGGGGACAGTCTTGACAAATTAAAGCATGTGCCACATTTATTCAGGGCGCATATAAAGAGGACAGTAGTAAGAGCATGCAGGGAGCGCACAAAATACAAAATAAGTAGTAGCTATGTTTCTTAACTAGCTGTATACTGTACATATAGAACAGGAGTAGTATAAGTAAGTATATAAAGTAAAGTGACATTGTTCAGTAGACAATCTGAAGTTGCAGTATTGCACATTGCACTTTATTTAAGAATTTACTCATTTATAGATGAATGAAACTTACAGGCTCAGCAGTTCTCATTGTACAGTCTGACAGCAGCAGGAAGTAAAGACCTACTGAACCTCTCCTTCAAACATCGAGGATAAATAAGTCTGTCACTGAAGCTGCTCTCCAGAGCAGAGAGAGTGTCCTGCAGGGGGCGACAGTCATGGACCATCATAGATGTTAGTTTGTCCAGGACCCTCCTGTCCCCCCCCTGCTGCACTGTGTCCAGGGAACAGCCCAGGACTGAGCTGGACTTCCTGATGTTCCAGCTTCTTCCTGTCCCTCTCAGTGATGCTGCTGCTCCAACAGACCACACCGTACAAGAGGCTGATGCCACCACAGAGTCATAGAAGGTCTTCAGGAGTGGCCCCTGCACTCCAAAAGACCTGAGCCTCCTCAGCAGGTAGAGCCTCGTCAGCAGGTAGAGCCTCCTCAGCAGGTAGTCAGCTCTGGCCCTTCTTGAAGAGGGCGTCTGTGTTCTGAGTCCAGTCCAATTTGTGGTTCAGATGAACACCCAGGTACTTGTAAGAGTCCACTCTCTCGTCCTTCCCCTGGATGTTCACTGGAGCTGGAGCAGCAGAGTGACGTCTGCGGAAATCCACCACCATCTCCTTGGTCTTCCTCACGTTGATGAGGAGGTGGTTCATCTCCTTGGTCTTCCTCACGTTGATGAGGAGGTGGTTCATCTCCTTGGTCTTCCTCACGTTGATGAGGAGGTGGTTCATCTCCTTGGTCTTCCTCACGTTGATGAGGAGGTGGTTCATCTCCTTGGTCTTCCTCACGTTGATGAGGAGGTGGTTCATCTCCTTGGTCTTCCTCACGTTGATGAGGAGGTGGTTCATCTCCTTGGTCTTCCTCACGTTGATGAGGAGGTGGTTCATCTCCTTGGTCTTCCTCACGTTGATGAGGAGGTGGTTCATCTCCTTGGTCTTCCTCACGTTGATGAGGAGGTGGTTCATCTCCTTGGTCTTCCTCGCGTTGATGAGGAGGTGGTTCCGCTGACACCAGTCCACAAAGTCCTGTATAACTCCTCTGTACTCTGTGTCATCGTCCTCGGAGCTGAGTCCGATGATGGCAGAGTCGTCAGAGAACTTCTGTAGAACACAACCGTCCGTGTTGTGTCTGAAGTCCGCAGTGTAGAGGGTGAAGAGGAACGGCGCGAGGACAGTACCCTGGGGGGCCCCACGCTGCAGGTCAGGACCTCAGACACAAAGTCCCTGGTTCTCACAAACTGGGGTCTGTCTGTGAGGTAGTCCAGGATCCACTCAGAAAGGTCGTAGTCCACTCCAGCTGTCTCCATCTTGTCCCTGAGAAGCCGCGACTGGCTTCTCAGCCAATAACCAAAAGCTCAATGTCTCTTCACCGTGCAGTGTGCTGGCTTGCAGTCGTCCGAATTTACAAACACAGCAAGACCCCCACCTCTCCTCTTTCCACTCTCGGCTGTCCGATCAGCACGGATCATATGAAATCCATCCATATCCACAGTAGAGTCCGGATTGTCAGAAGTCAGCCATGTCTCCATGTAGATCTGGAGGCTGCAGTTCTTTTATTCCCGCTGGTAACGCGTCAAGCTGGCCAGCTCGTCTGCCTTGTTGGTCAACAAGTGCACGTTCTGGTGGTAACGGAGGGCAGAGGGTCTGGATCCTCGCTTGCTCGCACGCTTGGCCAGCCGGTACTGGGCAGCTGCCTCAGGATTCCCACCAACCATCATGGGCCAAAGACTGAAGACTGAAGGCTGAAGAAGGAGACGGCATCCCTTACTGCCGGTGTGATAGCGGTGGAGAACATGGTCCCCTCAAAATCAATGTCTCCCTCCTCACCAGGGACCTGGGAGAAGCTCTCCTGGAGGTGCTCATCGAGACGTTTGGAGGCAGAGGGACGTAACCCTCTCATTCACCGGGAAGAACTCCAATACATGGAGCTGAAATGGGGGCAAAGAGTATGACCCCCCACCCCCGCTCGCCACTTCTCCACGTGACAAACATCAGAAAAGTGGAGCGTCAAACCCCTCTAAAGGAGTTGAGTTCAGAGCCCAAGCTGTGTGCGGAGGTGAGGCTGACTATCTCTAGTCGGTAACGTTTGGGCTCCTTCCCCCACGAGCTCGGGCTCCTCCCCCAGGGAGGTGACGTTCCACGTCCCAAGAGCCAGATGTTGTGCGTGGACTGGGTCGCAGAAGTCTCTGCCTTCCACTGCTGCCCAGTCCTCTCATATTACAAAGTAAGTTGTTCAATATTTCAATCAATCAATCATTTATTTGTATAGCACAATTCGTGTACTAGGAAATTCAAAGTGCTTCACAAAAAGAGAGAAGAAAAAAACAGATTAAAATGCATTAAAAAGTCAATAAATATACAATTATTGAATAATAAGTTGAAGCAGCATAAAAATATGGGATTTAAAATACATTAAAAGTGAGTTTAAAAGGCCAATAAAAGTAATAAGTAGTACGAAGAAGAATCAGTCAGTCAGTTGTATGCACAGCTAAAGAGATATGTTTTCAGCCTAGTTTTAAACATGGACAGGGAAGAGGCCTCTGCCACAACCCCAGGAAGGCCGTTCCATATCCTAGCTGTTTCTTCCTGACTCTGGCCACCTGCAGGAGGCCGGTTCCTGTACTTCTCAGAGTCCGAGCTGGTTCGTATGGCACTAGCATGTCATGGATGTACACCGGTGCGAGGCCATGGAGAGACTTAAACTTAAATAAACTTAAATATGTCAATCATCATGCGATTTAATTGGTTGTTTGTTCATCTGTGACATCAGTGGCTATATGAGGATTTTACCACGTCTCTTCTCTGCAACACAGAGACACAGAAGTAAAACTAAGAAGAAACCTCAGAACATTTTGTTTGCATGGATACAGCTATACCCATTTTTTATGAGTTCATAAAATGCTTTTTACTACATTCAAGTTGTATTATAATACGTAATTGAATGTAAAACGTGAGCTCATTGATTCAGATGTGATGAATTCAGGAGTAAAAAGTGCCTCTACTCAGCACTTTTTACTCCTGAATTCATCACATCTGAATCAATGAGCTCACGTTTTACATTCAATTACGTATTATAATACAACTTGAATGTAGTAACTTGGCGTGACGCTCGCTCTCCTCCAATCACACAACGAGGCTGCGTTAGCCTCTATAGCGCTAACACAGAGGCATGTTAGCATAGGTGGCTATAACTCCTCTGGCAGTAACTGCAGACACAGCAAAACAGCCCAAACCACACAACAGTGAGGAAGAGAAGAGGAACTAAAGCTCGAATATCTACGCTCGGACTATCTCTGTTCAAACTACGTTTGGACGGGAAACTAGCGGTAATCTTTCAGTGATATATTTTGTTACTTTTGTACCATTTTATTAGTGATTATTGTACAGCTTACAAGAACTTGCGTCATGCTAATGTTAGCATACATACCAGATCGCAAATAAAACTAGACTGAGAGAGCGTAAGGGAAATGAGAAGCCTGTGAGCAAGTTGGGGGTGGTCCTAAACATTAAAACCTTGCAGAAACGCGTATAGTTCCTTTAATTCACCTGTTCCTCCAGCTCTAGGAGGCAACTTCTGTTGTGATTTTGGACTATTCAAAACCATTGATTGATTGAAAACTAAAAATGCAAGGAATCATGACAAACTGTGATTAACAAATCTTACAAATTCTTGAACAATAAAACCCAAAAATACCACTTTAGATCATTGCAAATAGTATTGATACAGGTACATAATTTTTTTATTCATTGTTACAGCTTTAGTTGAATGGAAGACCAAATTAGATTTTGGATTTTGGATTTCGATTTAACTGCCTTAGGATACCCGTGTCTATTTCCTTCCTTTTTACTGCCCATTCAGCATCTTCAGTAGTTTGTTAACCTGTTCACTCACAGTGGCACTAAAAGAACAACTCAGAATCTGATTGTCATCCGTTGACCATGACTACACCACTGGTTTGGTCATTGGTGGGAGCCCCAAACACGTCTTTACTCCAGGCGGTGTCTGGGTCATCTTCCGGATGGCTCTGTAGATGTTGGACACAGAAACCTGAGTCCTCCTTGTCGATTTGGCTTTCTAAACCTCTTCCTCATGTCCCTGCTGCCCTTTGCTGTGTTTTGATCCTCCAGCCAGCAGTGTTCATTGTGTCCATTAAAATACTTTATCAAAACTTTAGTAAATATAATTTGTAGGTGACTAAAATTAGACTAAAAATAGTTTTTGAGTAGAAAGCTGTGACTAAAATGTCCAGATGATTTTATCTCCTTAAATGTAACTAAATACAAACATGGGAGGAGAAACAAGAAGCAGAGGAATGTGATTAAATGTAATTATAATGAATTATTATCATTATTATGTTATGGAACATAGTCATCTAAATTTACGTACAATTTCAAGTCAACTAAAACTAGATTTACTTGATGTCTCTTGACATAACTGGGTTTTCACCATCCACACCTGCGTCCAGTTATTTGATCTACGATGTTTGTGTTTAGTCATGACTGAGAACCTACATTGTTTCATATAGATGCATATGTTTATTGAAATTGTGGACTCTTGATAGTGCAATTAATATTGCTGGACTACTGACATTAGTACATTTAAGTTTTCCAATTATATAGCGACACAATTGCTCCATAATAATTCAGTGTACTTCTATATTCATCGGTTAAAGAATATGTCAATATGTCGAATATTGCTTTTAAAATGCTAGTTTTCATTGTTGATTTGTTTAATTTTGTAATTATTATAAAATATGCTGAAAATTGGGGGTTCAAAAGTTTTATTATCATTATAATTATGTTTAGTAACATCATCATCATTGTTATAATAATCATTCTTATCATAGATGTTATAATTAAATCCTGTGTATATTTGGTGAAACAAAGTGCCTGTAGAGTGAACACACGCAACAAAAACAACAAAACTTGGTGGGGACTGCAATACTTAGTATCGGCCCCTAAAGGTCAATATGAGTCCACACACACAAGAACACCTAACCTGGTGAGGACTGCAATAATGTGTGTGACCTCCAGGGGCGCAGGGAAATATACACACCTGACATTTTGTCATGAAAATGGGCCCAAAGGGGACTTGTTAGAAAATACCTCCAGGCACCATTAGAGGGTGTTGTGAAGCCTGTAATGGTGCTTTGCCCGTGGGGACCTCATTTTTGGTCCCCACGGGGACACAGGTCCCCACTAGTCTGTGTGCAGTCAGGTTGAGGTCCCCACGATGTAGCAAAAACAAACGCACACACACACACACACACACACACACACACACACACACACACACACACACACACACACACACACACACACACACACACACACACACACACACACACAGTGTTCCTTATTGGCAAAGTGGGTTAAGTGTCTTGCCCAAGGACACGACAGCAGACCTCAGTGGGAGTCGTGAAGTTGGTCTCATGGTGTGCCAATGCTCTACCAACTGAGCCACTGTCATACGAGTATAGTTTTACTTATATTTTAGGTTTAGGTAGGAAGCTTGTATGTCGACAAAATGGATTATATTTTTATATAGGTGATATATAGGTAATGCAGCTTCCCAACAAATGCATCTCGTTGTCCAGAAAGTTCACTAATACAAATGTTACTAGCTGTTAGAAAATGGCCTAGTTGTTTTTCCTTGATCATTGAGCTTGTCCCTGTGCTGCGTCTGTGCCTCGGCCTCCTCCTGTGGGTCAGGACAGTCTGCTTTTCTCTGAAAGTTTCCTGTTGAGAGCTTCCACAGAAACTATAGGCTCTGAATACAAACACACTGAGACGCACATGTCTGGGCTCATGGAGCAGAGCTGAGAAATGTACAAGTCTATACTGTCACTGTTGTTTACATATGTACAAATCTATACTGTTGCTATGTTGTTTAGATTCGGGATTTATACTATGTGTATTGTCTCTCCCTCTCTCTCGTCTCTATCCCTCTCTCTTGTCTTTCTCTCGTCTCTCGCTCTTGCCTTTCTCTTGTCTCTCTCTCTCCCTCTCGTCTCTCTCTCTCTCTCGTCTCTACCTCTTGTCTCCCTGCGTCTATCTTTCCAAGGGATTTAACTGGAATGTATGGGAATTAATGGGATTTTTTTAGAGTGAAGGTTTTATAGGGAACTTAAATATTTTAGGACAGTGTATTTTAGCATAATCATGACTCACTGACTTCGTAGACCACACGTAAAGATTTCTAGAAAACTAAAACCGACTTTTGAGCCCAAAGCACAACAATATATATATATATCAGCTAAAAATCTTGGATATGATACAATTTAATTACATGTAATGTAATGTAATTAAATTGTATCATATCCACATTACAATTGATTCCCAGTTATTGAATATTTCCAAAATTCCCCATTTCCCATGCAAATATACCCGAAATGTTCCGCCCCTTTTGCAACCTGAGGCAAACGTGTTATTCATGAAAGATAATGTAGGGACCCCAGCTTTACCTCCTCTTCCATATTCACCACAACATCAGTAATGCATTCTTCTTTGTCTGTTCTGAAACGTCTGTCTGAAGGTTTTTTCAATGTGTTATAAATATACAAACTATTGCAAGACCTCTCTGTTCAGGAGCCTTTTGTTGTGGCGTACCCTCAGGTCTCTCCTTCAGACGTGTAAAAATACGTTTTCTATATGTTCTGCTCGAAGTTTTGTCAACTTCTTCAAGTTAAATTCTGCAAGAGTTTGTTACATAAGTTTTCCTCGGAGCAGCTGCCGGTGGACGACAAACAGAAGCGGATTCTGTCGCACAACTTTCCTCAAAAATAAAATGTAACTTGACTTCCATCAGTGAAGTTTTACTTTTCCTACCGCATAAATCCAGCTGCTTTTCATTTCACAATGATAAGGTTCTGGGGTCGATTCCACCTTCAGGCCTTTTCTCTGGAGTTTGCACGTTCTGCCTGTGTCTGCGTAGGCTTTCTCCTGGTGCTTTGGTTTCACGTATCACCAAAACGTATGATATTTACATGTTTGTAGTGCGTCTCATAGATACTTTATTGATCCCTGCAGGAGAAACTCAGGTCTCCAGTAGCAGCAGAAACGCATCCATCCAAACTAACAAAACAAATAAACAGATCATTCTAAATGCTTCAATAATATTTTTCAAAAAGTTCGCATTCCTCCAGTGGATTTTGGCCTGATCCACTTGGTTTGGACCATGAATCCTCTCTGCTCTGGTCTGGACCAGTGAACACTGTACTGCAGCAACAATGGATACATAGATAGATGGATAGATACTTTATCGATCCCCCGTAGGAGAAATTCAGGTGTCCAGAAGCAGAACACTCTTCTTCTCTACCGTCAGTCAGGTTTGTTGTACAGTCTGACAGCCGAGGGATCAAAGGATCTTAAAACGTTCCGTTCGGCAGCGTAGTGATAGGAGCCTGTTGCTTCGAACATCTCAGAATCAGAATCATTTTTATTGCCACGTAAGTAACAGGAGGTCACAGACTAGGAAATTGCTACATCTCAGGCAGAAAAAGCAAGAACAAAAACAATTATGAATCACAAAATAAAAACTGTTTAAGGGCTACTTAGCGACCCCGCTCCCATCTCTGTGTGAAGTGAGAGGACAAATCCCCACATGGTCCGTGAGAAACCAGAGTCACAAATATCACTCTCTCACTTGTATTAATTCCATGTTCTTGTTTTTAGGTCCCCCAAACCTGCAGCCACTCCCAGCCTTCCAGCCCTTTCTACAGACGAGCTCCTGGTCTGCATCGTGGCCCATGAGGTAGTCTCCGGACCTGGGCCTCCTCCCATCATCACTGCTCCATCACCATCGTCCCGCCTTCTCCCCCCATCTCCCCCTCCCTCACCCACCTCCAGCCATGGGCCAGAAGATCTCGGGCAGCATCAAATCCATGGACATACGCGGAGAGCCTTCGTACCGCCCCGTGCGACGAGAACTCCGCGGCCCGGATTTCTGCAGACCTCCCAGACTGGACCTGCTGCTGGACATGCCGCCCGTTAGCCACGAAATCCAACTCAAACACGCCTGGAACCCGGACGACCGATCGCTAAACATTTTTGTAAAAGAGGACGATAAATTGACTTTTCACAGACACCCGGTGGCACAGAGCACGGACTGTATACGAGCGAAAGTAGGATTTACCAGAGGTTTGCACGTTTGGAGAGTCCATTGGCCGGCCAGACAGAGGGGCACCCACGCCATTGTTGGAGTAGCTACAGCCGAGGCCTCTCTGCATTCTGTCGGATATACGGCTTTAGTGGGATCGGACTCGGAATCTTGGGGTTGGGATTTGGGAAGGAACAGACTCTACCACGACGGGAAGAACCGACCGGCATCCGCACAGGCACCGACGTATTCTTGTTTCCTGGAGCCGGACGAGTCGTTTGTGTTGCCGGATTCGCTCATGGTGATTTTGGACATGGACGAGGGCACGTTGAGCTTCATGGCGGACGGACAGTATCTGGGCGTGGCGTTCCGCGGGCTGAAGGGGAAGAGGCTGTACCCCATCGTGAGCGCGGTGTGGGGCCACTGCGAGGTCACTATGCGATACGTCAACGGCCTGGATCGTAAGTAGCAAACACACAAAGAGTTCAGTGGATTTTTGTATCTCTTGGTTTTGTTTTGGCAAAAGCTTTCATTTCAAATCCGGAGATCACAACACTGGTACTGGAATGGAATATTGTGGTGTCCTGGGTTTTGGATGGGATATTGATATCAATGTTTGTCAACCTGATATCCCATTTTCCGATATTTTAGCAAAGAATCCCCCTCTCCACTTTTTGAACAAAACTCTCTGGTCTTATTTGACGAGCACATATCACCAGAATGATTGACAAGTGGGAGAACCAATAGTCTTGATAATCCACCCGGAAGTAGAAAATCCTCCTATACTTTAACTTGAGTTGTGCTGGTTAGTCCAATTGTGAGTCAGTTTGCTGGACCATAATTAGGGGTGTGCTAAAGAAAATAAATCAATTTTTAGATGTATATCTCAATACAAAAAAAAGTGAATCCAATGTTTTTCTTGTTTTCTTTCATTTGTTAAAAAAATACATTAAAAAATATAGGTTTTGATATTTTTAATTTTACAACTTTTTTCATCTCTACATAATCAGACTTGAATAGTGTTGAAAGATTCAGATTTTGTGTTGCCGTTGTAAGTAACAGCAAGTCACAAACTTGGACTTTGACTCAAACAAGTTACAAAGGTTTTACTGAATGCTCTTGTTTACAAAATATTTTGAATCGAAAGTCCCCTGTATCTAGATGCATATCGAGATTTGTATTGTATCCGAAGTCTGAAGGATGCCTGGTCCTATTCAGAATTAAAATATACTCCCCCTCCCAAATATGTGTTTGGACCAGTCTAGTTTAGCCGCTGTGGACTTTCAGAATGCACTCATTAAATGAATGGGGCTCGTGCAGCTGACTCATGCACAAATGTGTTTTCACATTTTCCTGCCCTGAGGCCATTTTGAAAAAGCCACAGAAGCCAAAAGTGATGTCACATTAGTTTCAACGGGTGGAGATAGGTGTGACTACGGCTTTAATATTTACAGTCTGGACAGTCTGGACACCCCTGAATTGGGCGGCACGGTGGCTGAGTGGATAGCACTCTCGCCTCTCAGCAAGAAGGTCCTGGGTTCGAATCCCGGTTGGACCAGGGCCTTTCTGAGTGGAGTTTGCATGTTCTCCCTGTGTCTGCGTAGGTTTCCTCCGGGTGCTCCGGTTTCCCCTACCACTAAAATTATGTACAATAGGTCTGGCATGTGCCTCCTGTACTGGCACCCCCACTCCCAAAAAATCACAATTGTAAAGTGCTTTGAGACTCCGATGTGCAGTGAAAAGGCGGTATATAAATAAAGATTACTACTACAACCATCAAAGGCACTCAAATCTTGTCCTTGTTTTAACACTAAAAAGCTAATTTTTCCAGTGTATTGTAGCATTCATGTAGCTCGACGTTTCCTCAAGCGCTTGTCTGCCGATATTAGGCAAAACTACATTTATATTTAGTTTCACTCGGTGTGTCACAAATGCATCGTGCCAAAGCCCTGGTGGTTTTTCCTCTTTCTTCCCGACACCAAATCTCCTTTTGTTTACCAATGGGAGTCGAAACCTGCTTTGTGACTATTTTGAGATTTCCATTATCGCCGCTCTCGAAGTGAATCTCTTGCACTTTGAAGTCTGAGTCTGGAAGTCTCTGCTTGTTGCTGCTTGTTTCTCTCACTGACGTTAAACACCTTCTGTAAGATTTCCAAATTTATGTCAAATATTGCTTTTCACTTTTTTAAGACTTCCTTTGAAATGTTAATTCTTAAGTGTTGACAGAATATTAAAGAATTGGCTCCTTCTGACGTGTTGCCCTCACAGCTTTGAAGAATAATAGCCTTAGAAAGTCTTTAGATGGTTGAAGTTTTGCATTTTGAGTATATTATTTCTAAATTTAGGTGGTATCTGGTAAGTAATGACCACCGGTTCTATTTTGATCATTTTTTCTCTTGGTAGCTTCCCATGGATCTATAATAACTGGATAGGGTGTTACTATCTTATTGCTGTCCCACCCATGGCCACAGGGGGCGCTGTGGTACTGCAGACTAAATTAACGCTACCCAGAAATTTTCCCCATAGATCTCAGCTGACAGAGAGGCTGACAGAGAGGCTGACAGAGAGGCTGACAGAGAGGCTGACAGAGAGGCTGACAGAGAGGCTGACAGAGAGGCTGACAGAGAGGCTGACAGAGAGGCTGACAGAGAGGCTGACAGAGAGGCTGACAGAGAGGCTGACAGAGAGGCTGACAGAGAGGCTGACAGAGAGGCTGACAGAGAGGCTGACAGAGAGGCTGACAGAGAGGCTGACAGAGAGGCTGACAGAGAGGCTGACAGAGAGGCTGACAGAGGCTACAGCTTTCATAAAGGTCAGATTTTGTGCGGATTTTAGTGTCCCTTGTCATCCTGAACTTTTTTCTTCTTAAACCCTTCGGTTTTCTTTAAATCCACACTTTACTGCCACAAACTGCTCCTTTCCTTCCCGCTCTGACTCCGCTCTTCTGCTGCTCTGATCAGCAGCTCTGATTGGTCAGAGCACGGTCGAGCCCCTCTGTGCCACACGTGTATTTGGCGCAAAGCATCATGGGAGCTCGTCCACTGCGCAGAACCGGTAGGACCAGACCTACTGAGTACAAGCCATTCATTTGAATAGGGCGCCATCTTGGATCACCAGGGCTTGTGGCTTCCCCTTTAATAATATTGAATGTAAAGGTTCGTAATATTCATCACAAATACCTTGGATTCCAATTCTGCTGCAAATGAGTTTAGTCAGACAAATATTTAGCAGTCCACTTTATTTGTAAAACATTTTGATTGAGTCACAAAATTCCATACGTAGCGTTAATTTTGCTGTGAATCCATTCTTAATACGGTATCTTTCCCCATTTTAAAGTAAAGATCGCACCAAATCTGGTCTAAATAGTCTGCTCTGCTAGTGCGCTCAAGTGGCCATCTGACTAAAAAGTGAAATGGGGGATAAAACGCTACAGTGGTCTGTGAAAGGCGCTATACAAATAAACTTTACTTAATACAACCGTATGCAGTGCTTGAAAGTTTAGACACCCAATTGTTTTGGCCATTTCCTGTATACGATGACGCGTTATTGTTACTGGTCGTGTGAAGCCATACCCACGTTTTCTATTTTAAAATGTTTTACATCATTGAGCCGATCAGTGGTGAAGTCAATTGTGCAGTTCATGCAAGGCAGCCAAGAAATTTACAGGAACTGGAGGCTCTTTATCAAGAAGAATTGGCAGCATCTCCTCTTTACCATCAGAGGAGGTCATCCACAACCACCACAAGACTCCAAGCTTCATAGTTAAATTAAAGGGGAAATACGTGTTATTTAGAACTGGGGATTTCGGCTCGGGGTCAGAAGAGGACTTTTGTTGTGCCTGTAATTATCCATCTACTTACAATTACTGAAAAAAGTCTGATTTTGCCTCGTAATGTCTGAAATACTGCAGGTCAACTTTCAAGCATAACTAAACACCCAGGTAATATTTTGGACGATGCTGATTTCTGGAGCTTTGAAAGTCCAGCTCTGTTCTGGTCCTTCCTCTGGTCCTCGTTGGCTCCACACAAAGGCCCCGGGGTCGTGGAGTGTGTCGACCACCTGACCCCGACACAGTCCAGAGTCCGAGTGGCTCTGAGCCAAAGGGGGCCGGCCTGCACCGCATCCAACAAACAGCTACGGAAGCCCATAAGTAGAGTTTGGAAGTTGTAGGATCTTTGTCTCTGGGGCTCCTAGACCCTTAGTTTGGAAACCAGGCAAATGTACTTTAGTAGTTAATCTTTCTTCTAAATTCTTATGTTCATTCTTCAGGATGTAACGTGTGCTGAAAACTAGTCCATATAAAACTAATGAATATATTCAGTTTATCTTTTTAACCTGTAAACTATTAAAGCTGGAGTGACACAAAACAACAAAGAAACTAATGTAATAAAATCAATATAACTATGTCCTTGCTCTAGTTTTCACATGTATCTATCAGGCCTCTGTGAAATCTGTAGATCAGCTATTCAGACAGAATAATCTGGGTCCCTCAGCTTTAGCTCCAGAGGTCCCTAAAGGCCTCATGGTTGTAGTTTATATATGACAGTTCAGACTTAATATATAAATCATTCCCATTTCCATTGGATCAAAGTTTATGTTCTTCAGCGTTGTCTTTGAACTGGCTCAAGGTTCAGACAGAAATAAACCTTCAATAGAAAATCTCTACCTTTTTTATAAATACTGCTGCGGCACAGTGGAGCCTTTTGAATGTGGTCGGTCCCTCTCATCTCCAGGTGCAAGACGTCCTTTGCTCCCCCTAAAGCTGGAACTTTACTTACTTTATTTTACTACTTTACTTACTTTCCAACCTAAAAATTGAGGTAGCAGCAGCATAAAAACAATACAAGATTCAGTGAAATATTTCCAGAATGTTCTCATCTTTTGAACGTGGCTGAACAGTATTTCTCGGTGTAGGAACCATCACCGATCTGCACATGTTTCCTGTAGGTAACGAAAGTGACACTAATTGGGAGAATGTTCTAAACTCCAGCCCACAGGTACCGCTGGTGCCTGGGAATACACATCCTCCCGCACAGGTGCTGACACAAGCAGCTCCAGCACCGTGTAATGACTTATTTGCATAATTTTGTTGACTCATTGTTGTTGGCTATATGCAAAAAAATGTATCAAAGGGAAAGTATTGTGAGTGAAGTGTGGAAGGACAACAAGTTAAAGATTCAAGGCAAGGCAAGGCAAGTTTATTTATATAGCACAATTCATACACAAGGCAATTCAAAGTGCTGAACAAAACAAGAAAGCATTAAAATCATAAATAATCACAGAACATTAAAAAGAAAGATACAAATATAAAATCCCTCAGTTGTATGCACAGCTAAACAGAACTGTCTTTAACCTGGTTTTAAACATTGTCAGAGAGGAGGCCTGTCTCACATCTCCAGGAAGACTGTTCCAGATTTTAGCAGCATGAATCTGAAAAGCAGCCTCCCCATGTTTAGTTCTG